TAATCCACACAGTGTTGAAATAATCCGTGGGCTGTTCCTCAATTTAATCCACAGGTTGTCCAGGGAAATTTAATCCACAGGCTGTTCAGGAGTGTTTAAATTGTTGCTGCCACAGTCTGTACAACCTGCCAAAAAGCTCCAAGTTTCTAATGGAGTGTTTGGTGCTGTTTTGCCTTAATACAGCCCCAGGGCATCCTGAAGGTGCAGGATCTCATGGCACACGCTCCTGGCAGGGCACAGGGGGGTCCTGGGTGCTGACCAAGCAAGGACTGAGGTGTGAGGGCAGGTTGGGAGGGCAGCTGTGGGAGCCTGAGCCCCCACCTCCCATCCCTGCGTGTCCTGGGCAGGACAAGCAGCTGCTCCTTCACAGGGGCTCCATCCTGGAGCTGCCACTCCTGAATGAGGGAAACCATTGGGAGGACATCACCAGCACCCCCACAGCTCCATCACTGGCTAAATGGGTCTGATGCCAGAGCATCACACAGCTCCTGACTGTGACAGCCAGAGGGAACAGGGCCAGAGCTGTCCCCAAAACCAGCACTGTTGCCATGGCACTCAGCTGTGTTGGACACAGGGTCTGTGCTGTGGGTGGCCTCGTGCTGGGGCACCCATGGGATGGAGCTGTGGGTGCTGGGGGATCCTGGATTAATACCCCAGGGCACAGGACCCTGCACTTGCCTTTGCTGAATTTCAAAAGGTTCCTCCCAAACCAAGGGTTTTGGGTGCCCACGTGCACCAAGGAGGGGCTGGGGTGGGATCCAGAGCACCAAGGAGGGGCTGGGGTGGGATCCAGAGCACCAAGGAGGGGCTGGGGTGGGATGGAGGGGCTGTGGTGGGTGGGATCCAGGGCAGCCTGGCCCAGGCAGTTTCCAGCTCCCGCTGTTTCTCCCATTCCCCTGAGCTCAGCCCTTTTCTGAGCAGCAAACAGAGCTCACTGGAGCTGCCCTGGCTCTGCCTGTGCCAGGCTGTGCCTCCTGGTGGGATGTGCAGGGAACAGGAGCAGAGACCTTGGGGCACACAGGAGGTACTGGGGGCTGCAGTCCCACTCCACGGGCAGATCTCGGCCTCCTCTTCCTCCTTCTGCTTTGCTGCCCACCAGCAAATCCTGCAGCATGTCCCACCCAGCACACCATGTGCCACCTCCTCTGGGGTGGAGAGAGGCTGGCAGGAGTGCAGGGAGCTCCAGGTGGGCTGGGACGAGCTCCCACATTCCACTCCTGAAATTCCACACCCTTCGTGCCTGGTGCCCTGCACACTGGGAGCCTCCAAGGGCTGCAGGGCAGCAGAGCAGAGCAGAGAGGGGCAGCTCAACAAGGGAAGGGACTGCTGGATGCTCCAGATGTTCTCTGCCATGGGCTCTGCCTTCCAGCCCTTGATCTGCTTGTGCATCTCCTGGCATAGAGCCCTGACCTAGGAGAGGGGGATGGCAGGGTGAGCCCCAGGGAAGGATGAACACCAGAGCAGGGTGAGCCCCAAGGCAGGGAGAACTCCAGGGTGAGCCCCAGGGTGAGCCCCGGGGCAGGGTCCCCAGGCCTGGGTCCTTTGTCCCCACCATAGTCTGCACAGAGCCAGGGGCAGCACAGAGCCCGGCCAGGCTGGCACAGGGCACTGGGGCAGGGCTTGGCCTTCTGCACATCCTCAGCAGCCAAGAAGGGGCAGAAGCTCCCCAAAAGCACGAGGGATGCAGAGCCCAAAGGAAGGGGTGGCTCAGGGGCAGCACCCAGAGGGGCTGCCCTGGTGATGTCTCCTTCACTGGCTTCCACTTTCTTCCTTATCTTCTCCATATCTGAGGGGCTGGGAACCACAGGGGCCTCTCACACTTCCCTCAGTGGTTCCCTGCTCTCCTGGGCAGGCAGATCCCACAGGCCCAGGTGTCCAAGCATCCCACCTGGGAGGTGGTGACAGGAGATAGAGCGAGGTGGGCACAGGCAGCAGGCTCCTTCCTCTTCACTCTCCTCCTCCTCCTGGAGCCTGCCTTCTCCCTGCCTACAGCTGCTGGAGACAATTCACTGCAGCAGCAGCTGTAAGGGGAATCTGAGGAGGTACCCTGACCACTGAAATGTAAAAGGTGATCAAGGATAATGCAAACAAATTTTAATGAGAATTTCAACCTTGGGGGCATCTAGTTCACTTCACTTCTGACCCTATGTCAGGGACATATTTTATGAAAAATCCTTTTGTTAGGATCTTTTCTCCAGAGAAGCTGAGAGGCCTCAGGAAAATAATGTAAACAATGATTATCTGCTGCTGTGGAATGCAACAGGTGCATCTGTGATTGGTCTCATGTGGTTGTTTTTAATTAATGGCCAATCATAGCCCAGCTCTCTCAGACTCTCTGGTCAGTCACAAGATTTTATTATCATTCCTTTCTATTCCTTGCAAGCCTTCTGATGAAATCCTTTCTTCTATTCCTTAGTATAGTTTTAACATATCATTTTCTTTTAATATAATATATATAATAAAATAATAAATCAGCCTTCTGAAACATGGAGAAGAATCTCATCTCTTCCCTCCCCTGCTAACACCACCACACCCCTACCAAGAGTAAAGCCACAGCTTTTGCTTTAACAGAACACAGTGCCTTGGCAAACCCCATACACCCAAGCACTGCACTGGGGTTAAATCATCATGGAATTATTTCCAACACAACACAGAGCACAGGCCAGCAAAATGGGAACAAATGGCAAGCTGTCAATGCTGATGTGTGTGTTGTACAGGAACAACAGGGATTTATTTGTGAGAGTAACACCAATGCTAATGGCCAAGACATTTGTCTTGGCACTGAACAAAATGTTTGTCATTTTGAAATACACCCTGCTGAAATGCTTGTAACTGTATTTATATACATTGGGAAGAGTAAAAACTATTTGTGATTCCATAGAGACCACACACTATAGAAATAAACCATGATTCAAATATTTAGGTTTGTAGTTTTCTCCAAAATTAGAGGGTGTGACTTCAACTATTCAGTTCTATCCCAACCCATGGATTGTTACAATCTACCTCCACATCCCAGCAAGGTTTCCTGCTCACCCCCACTGGAATGAACCTTGCACTGGTGCAAAAATTACTGCAGCACAAAGAGCTGTGTTCACTGCTGGAAGGTGTGTGAAGCAATGGACACAGAGCTCACCACTATTCATCAAGCACAGAACAGATATACCATGTGATGAGAAATGGAGAACTCACTGGTGGGATTGTGTTTGGGTGGTCACCTACTGCAACAGGAATTCCAGATCTAACACGGCATCCTGGTGTAATTCTGCTGATTTCTGTCATTTTATGTTTAATGTACTGTAGTGTTCTGTATGCTGAAGTGTTTATATTAGCTAGACAGGTAGCACTGTCCCACAGATGTCCTTGCATACATAATATTGTTCCCTCACATTCAACAGTCTTAAAAATCACAGTATTTAGCTAACCTGATTGAAAATTTCTCACAAATTTTAAGTTGGTCATAACAAATCCCTGTTTATAGGCACAGAGGCAAGAGGTGACCACAGGGCCACTCTGTGGAGCAGGACAAGTTGTTTTTAGTCACAGGGTGGATTCTGGTGGTGCCTTCCCCCATCCCTTGAGCTGCCCTATGATCTCAGAAATGCTTGTTAGGCCTTGAGAACAGCACCTGGGCTGAGCAACTCCCAATCTTATCAGAAACACTGTCTGCTCCCAGGAACTTGTGCTGTCTGACAAACTCCTGGTTCTTAACAAACAGCCTTGGAAACTGCTTTTCTTGCCTGATTAACAACCCGAGCAGAACAACATTTTTGTTATCAGACTTTCAAAGAAAGCTGCTGACCTGAATTGTGGCCAGGATGGAGAGGAACTATGACCATTCCTTGAGGCTCAACTCTTTGCCTGTTGAGAAGATGCAAAGATATCTGATGTATTTCCAGGAGCTTGAGGGGAATTCTTCAGAGGTTCTTTGTACTCCTTCAGGGCTGTGTGTGAGTGAGAATGCACTGCAGCAAATACTTAATATAGGAGAGCAGCATTCACAGTGTATTTTAGATTTTTAAATAAATATGAAATTGTTAATTTGTTAAATTTTAGCCTAAGCAATAGCTTAACAGCTTCTGCTGTTCAGTGCTGTTAAACTTTTGGGCCTAAACTGTTGGTCAAGTCTGGGGCTCAGTTTTGCAAGGGGGTCTGCTCTGAACCTTGTGACTCATCCTGTGTTTCCTTTTTATTCTTGCCCTTTCCTACCCTTCCCCTTCCCCCCCTCCCCAGCCTCAATGTAGATTTTTTGATTAATTTTGGGTTTAGATTGATTGGTTTTATATTTTAGTTTGCTTTTACCATGTTGTAAGTAGTAGAGTGAACCTTGCCAACAACTTTGTGGAACTTTCACTTCTCTACTAAACCTGGTCTTGCTGATACCTTAGCTGGTGATTCTTTAAGCATCCATAAAACATTCACTCATGACAAAGGCCCAGGGCACACAGGCTCAATCCTCTGCTCTGAAACCTCATCCAATTCTGCACATCCCTCATGGAATTTGGCATGGAGGTTTAATCTGTGCTGGATACTGAAGGTGGCCCAAGCACTCCATGCCAAGGTTTGCCTGTTATTCAAGGTTTGTCCTGCTCAGTCACTGCTGGCCCCTTGGCACATTTTATATGTTGGAATGTATAAGATAACCAAAACTGAACAATTAAACATTTCCTGTGCTGCTCCCAGCAGCTTTTATTTGTCCCTCACATCAGCAGACCAGTGGTGTAGGTTTTTTCAGGAGTGTGTTTGTCTCATCAAGGGGAAAGATCAGTTTGGGAGTTTATCCTTATATCATCCTGGAGACAAAGCCTTCCACCTGCACCTTGTGCTGCTTCCTCAAGTGTCCCCTCCACCCAAAAATTAGTATCTCTCAAGAAAGGAGTGATCAGCCAGTCCAACTTCCCCATGGAAGAAGGCTGCAAGCTGAGCCTTGCTACAGCAACAGCCCCACTGAACACACACAGCAGCTCCTCAGAGGGCACAGCATTCATAGGAAGCACCAAAGCTGAAAAATCTTACACTTTTTATTGCAGGTTCAGTGTTAGTGTTTTGGAGAGCACAGCTGCATTAGAAGCAGATATTGTTCCAACTTCCCTTCCCCACAAGACTCTGCCACAAACTCAGCCCCAGGCAACTCCAAAAATCGTGCCTGGTTTTGCAGTGCAGACAAATGTCCCAGAGAGGAGCAAGACCCCTCGCATGATTCATCACTGAAGAGCAATAATGATCCAAAGCTTGCAAAATGAAAAGGCCAACACATTATCTAGCACTCCTGCTCTGCTGGGACACAGACAGGAGCCTTTCCCAGCTCCCTGCCCCAGGGATGGCAGCAGCCCTGCCCATGGGTTGCCCTAAGCTGTCCTTTGGGATGTTCTGCTAACTGAGCTTTGCTGAAAGTCCCTGCTCTGCTGTGCAGGAGAGGAGAGGCCCCTGAGCTGGCACAGAGCTGCTGTGGGCTCAGCTCTGCCAGCAGCACAGCCTGAACATTCCCTTCCATGCTCTGGGGTGAGACACAGGCAGAAACAACCCCAAAGGCTGCTCTCACTGCCCACACAGCAATGAGCAGTCCCTGTTCCCTTCTCACAAGCTGACAGCTACTTCTGTTTAGCTTTTCTTTCTGCCCCTACAGGGCAAGAGAAAACACACTAAAAAAAAAAAATCATTAAAGGAACTTAAAAATTCAACACCACCTCATTCCTCCATCTCTCTCAATTAAGGTGTAATTCCCCCCACTGCCAGTGGCCCCTTCTATTGACTTGTAAAGTGCTGGTCAGGTTGATTTTTTTTTTTTTTCTATTAGATCTCACGGCTCAAGACCCTGAAAACCTCAACACTCCTACAAAAATAAACAGCTGTGTTATGCCTATGTTTTATGGTATTGCCTTTCCATGCAGATTTCCTTCTCTTGTGGAATCCAGGACAGGGGCAGGCTCAGGTTTAGTCATCGACGGTGATGTTGCGGAAGAGATAAGCCATGGACTCGCCGTTGTGGATCCTCCTGATGGCCTCAGACAGGATCAAACTGATATCCACAGTCTTTATCTTGGGGCACTGCAGCTTCTGCACCTCGTGAGGAACAGTGTTGGTCACCACCACCTGTGGAGGGCCAGAAAGGAAAGGAAGTTGTGCTGCAGGAACGTTCACCCTCCCTGAGCAGCCACCCTGAGGGTGTGTGCTGCTGCTCCACAGTTCAGGGGGAGAACTCCCTGCATATCAGGAAAAAAGATTAAAATAAATGGTCTCCCCTCTGTGACAGTCTGTTGAGGGGACCAGCATAACCAGCACTCTCTAACAGGCTGATGGGCCCACTCAGATCACAGGATCTATTACTGAGTGCATAACCAGCACTCTCCAACAGGCTGATGGGCTCCACTCAGATCACAATATTTATTATTAAGTTAGAAATCCTGTCCTCTTCATGTAGCAGCAGCCCCTGATCAGCTGAGGGAGAGGGTTCACAGTGAGATGGCAGCCACACAGCCCCAGCTGCAGGGAGGGAAGTGTCCAGGCAGGGATGACTAATATTTTTGTTGGGGAGAAAATGTACTAGAGGGAAGCAGATCTGATCTGAGCAAGGATTAATCACACACACTTTTTTTTTTGTGTGTGTTCCAGTGAAGAACCAGCTAACTGAAAGCACCTGATTAAATGAGTAATTCCAGACATGAGCTACGTGCCTTGGGAAGGACATCAATTTGTGAGTTTTGGTGCCACCCCAGCTCTGCAGTCTGGAGAGCAGCCTCACCTCATCAATGGAGGATTCCTCTATGAGACGAGGGGCATCTGCTGACAGGAGCCCATGAGTTGCCATCACAAAAATCTTGTAGGCCCCACGCTCTTTCAGGATCTCTGCAGCAGCTACAAAGCTTTCCACGTCATCAATGATGTCATCCTGAGCAGAAACAGAAATAACATCAAACCCAGAGGTTTTCAGAGCCTGCAGGGCAGGAGTGGATCTGCAGGCTACTGCAGCTTTGGCCATGCACACAGATGAAAAATAGAATCCCTGTCCACTCCAGCTGCTGATGAGGACAGCCACGTGCATGACTGATCTGTGAATGCTATTTCCCTGGTTTAATGACCCTTTTGCTAGTGTGGAGAACAAATGTTGTGTCTTGGAAACAAATCAGTCCCTGCACATGCACTCACAGTTTATCATCAGCAAGGAGTATTTTTGCATGGGGCAGGAGCTGCATGTTGATTACTTACACTGCAGCATGGCATAGCAAGTAAGAGAGGCTTGGCAAGTGCTTTGTTTGGGGTTTTTTAACACTTCAGGAGTTTTCTGTGTGCCCTGGATTTATTCATTACTTACAGACATCTGACACACAGAATCAAGGCAGCAAGGACATTTTAGGGCTTAAAGAGCTGAAGTGCAAATGGTTTTCAACAGAAAGTTGAAATAACCAAAGCCATCAGCACTACTGGAGAAAAGAGTGTCTAAAAACCAGGTTCCCACTCCTACACCAGGCATCCCTGTGACCCTCAGGGATGGAACAGCTGAAAGAAAGATGCTGTGAGGAAGCCACCCCCCACCTGTCCCCCTCACACTCATACCACGATGATGGCAATCCTTCCTCCAACGTCTCCAACCACAGTTATTGGCGGTTTCTCCTTGGCCATCATCACTAAAGAAGAAGGGGAAAAAAAAGAGTCCAGGTGACTCAGGCTTGAGTCAAACCCCCACAGCTCCACCAGACAAGAGGCTGAACCATTAAACATCTTACACTGCTGCAGACACAGATGTGCTTGACATGATCCTGACACCCACCTAAGTGAGGAACTCATTTAACCATCACCTTTCTCCTCAAATGAACAACACTGCTGCATAAAGAGGAAATTCTGTTTCTGTGGGGATTTTGTACTGACCTCAGAAACAGAAAGCAACTCCAACTCTCTAACAGACCCCTGTGCAAGGAGAGTTACAAAGCAGCACCTGGTTTATGGGCAATATCAGTGACCTTCTCTGTGCTCCAGCACAGGACTTGAAAAAGGGTCCATTCCATGACTGGGAACAACAAATGGGCATTTCCAAGCAGCACCTCTCAAAGGGCAGGTGCTTTACAAGGTGCGACTTTTCACCTCTTGGACTCAATAAATCATCTGTAGGACCAGAGACTTGCACTGCAGCTCATTTGCTTTCTCACATCACCAAACACAGAGGGGTCTTTGAGAGGGTGTAAGAACCTTAATACCACCTGCTCAGGTCAAGAATGCTTAAGGAAGCTTGCAGAAGCAAATTTGCTGATTATTTTTAAGTGGATTAATGGAAAGAGTAGGACAAAATCCAGCTGAAACTCAGTTCAACAAGCTCAGTGCAACCAGCAATTGGATCAAAGCACACACTGACAGGCTGTGCTAGCTGGCACACAGTGAAGAGATGTACTGGGAAATAAGGTTCCATTCCCTCCTGACACTACTTTTGCACTGACAGGGTCCATGCAAAGCCACACCCTGCTAAAGTTCCAGCAGCATCATGGAAACACCAGAGATCTGAGATGCACTGAGAGTGTTCAGATGTAACACAGCCCTCAGACTTACACCACACAGCAACCAAGCTCCAGCACAGGCCAGGGCCCTGCTGTCCATCTGCCAAACCTCTCACCTGCCATGGGCTGCTGGCACAAAACCCTCCAGCATGGAAAGGACACTGTGGTGGGCACACATGTGTCAGCAGGTGACAATCTGGGCTGATCTAAGCACTGAAGCCAAGAGGCACCTCCAACATTTTGTAACACTTACCTGGCCCCCCTCCCCACCCCACAGCCCTGTTTTGTCCTCTCCACAGTGAGTGCAAAGTGTCCTACCAAGGCACTTGGTGCCCCCTCCTTTTGTAAGCTCAGGTCTTGTCAGGATTCTGGCCACAGAGGCTTCTCAAGTGCCTCAAGGAGTTCACACAAAGCAAGATTTTTCTCTTTTAGGTTAATCCATTTCAATGTAATATCTGAGCAGCAGGAGAACACAAAGCCTTTGCTCAGCAAAAAGCCTGTCTAAATATTGATCTCTGCTCTCCTCACCAAAAAAACCTTCCATCAAACTCCCCATCCTGCACAGCAGGATGATCCAGTAGCATTCCCATATCTCACCAGTGCCTGGGAATGCTTAGAGTGCAAGCACAGGTGGGTGAGTGACTCACACTGAGGGATATGATGAAAGCAATTATAAACACCACAACTTCCAAGATTCTTGTGTAGAGCTGTTCTTCACATCCATGACCTACTCCACAGGCTGGTTTTCCATAAACCTACCAAAACTGCATAAAAGGTGTCCAGTAATTCTGTTTTGCCCACAGTCCCATCACTTATTGCCAGGTTTTGCAGTTAAAGTCACAACTACCTTGGACTGAAGAGTTAATCAACAGCTCTTCATGGCACAGACTCCTCAGCCTCCCTTGCATGGTTATTTCTGAGTCTCCTACCAAATGCAAAGTCACATCTAAATCCTGAAGGAAAAATATTCTTATGAGAAGGAAGATTCTTTATAATAAATGAAGATTAAGCACCACCAGAGATAAGCAGATCATAAATTCCAGTTCCAGGCACTACTGACCTGCTCAGATTAGTTATGAGTTTACTGTCTAGTCTGGACAGTAATGGAGCTCCTGGTGGGAGCTGGGAAGTATCAAAAGGATTCACCTGGCTGCCATCCCAGCCTCTGTGTGTATCCAGTGATGAGTGCCATCTCTGTTTACAACAGCCAGCTCAGGGGAAACTTTTCTACACAAATGGTGAACAGGCCTGGGGAGCTGAAATTCAGCACTGTTTTACTCACAGAGATATGGAGTTTCAGCAAATCAGCTTCCTTCTACTCCATGAAGGAAGCAGACACATTCCTTGCTATGCTTAAAGGCTAACATGGCAACCAGCAACATTAGCAGTGCTTTGCATCTCTGTCTGGTTTTTTAAAAGCTGTATTTCAATTTTGGTTTATTTTTAAAGAATGGTAGGCAACGTGTCGACCTACCCGGATCTTAAAGAGATGTTCTCCCTTTTCCTTGTTCAATTTTCTCTGCAAAAAAAAGAAAAAAAAATTGCAAGCTAAGGATCTACCCACAACCACATCAAATCTCAACTGCTCCAAGGTGATGAGAGTCTACACAAGGGTTAGTGCAGGCAGCTTCTTCTTCAGAATCTTTGAACATATCAAGATGTGCAAGTCAGAACTGCTACGAGGAGGTGCCTTGAGAAATGATTCAAATAATAAAAGAGTATTTTCCTCCCAGACACAAACCCTCTATGTTTGTAGACAGAAGAGAACAGAAATAAGCCATGCTGGTATTTTCTGTATGGTGTAACCCCTTGGATCATGTACAAGTTTGGTTTAAAGAGTTGCTGACTTTTTCTGGAGAGTAAGAAAAGATGCTTGTGGTATCTGTAGCTTCTGAGGGAAAAAAAAAAAAAAAAGAGAAAAAACTAGACCAACCACCATTTCTTTATAAAACAAGAATTTCAAAGAATACTTTCATTCAGATGTGCATAACATACACCAAAGTACCACATGTTAAAGGCAGGAATACTGGCACTAAGAAAGAACATTCTCAGGTGTGTAAACATGTTGCTTTAATTAAGTGGTCAAAACCAGGTTAAGAAATACTAAAATAAATTCTGTTTGGAGCTGACAGTGCAAATTCAAGTGACAATCACCAAGAAATATAATGCTGCATTTCCATCAGAGCCTGGGAGCAAAAGGCTGCTCAAGAATGAAGTGTTTTGTGTAGAGATAACCTTGGAAGGACAGCAAGCACTCCTGTGCCCAGCCTAAACACAGGCAAGATGGGGGTAGGGAACAGGAGCAGAGCCATGGTCACTCCAGTTTCTCCCCCAAACTCCTTTTGTGGCAGTTTGCTGGGCTCTGGGATCCAAGCAGACCATCAGCTCTCTGTACAAAGCTCTGGAATGATTTAACAGATGGTTCCCCACTCCTTTTCTCCAGGAAACAGGCAAAGAGCCCTCGTGCATTTGTTAAGGCACAGCCCCGAGCCAGCTGCAAGCTCAGAGACACAAAGGCACAAATCAAAGGGAATAACCCTGGAGTGACATCCTGCCCCCAAGGCTCTGATTCCAGGGGCTGCTCTGCTGAGGGCTCTTGCTGCTGCTCTAGTGAAGCATTTGAAGTGCAATCAGAAGCACCTCTGGCGTTTTTCTGTTGTGGCTCCCTACGAATCACAATATCACATCAGGCCACACTCAGAGGACAATAACTAAGCCATTACACTGCCTAGCACTCATTAATTAGAGGCACATGATCCCTGATAGAACGGGGGGAGGAGGTGCATGCCAGGACACAGGGCCCAGCCAGTTCAGCAGGAAGCCCATGGAGAATGGCACAGAGCATGAGCCATGGCTGTGGGGCTGCTCCCCAGCACAGGTTTCACCCCTCTCCTGCCTCTAACAGACTGCCAAGTCTGGGATGCCCCACACTGATCTGGTTGTAGCCCAGGGTGGGATGCCCCACAAGAAGTCCCAGGAACATCCCCAAGCTCCCACCTGCCAGGCCCAGGTTTGGTTGCTGAGCCAGGCAGACTCACAGATCACTTTTGTTCTGACAATCAGAGGGTGTGAGGGCAGTTTTGGTGTAAGGAATATCCAGTTGTGAGCAGCAGCACGTGTCTGACTTCTCACAACCAACCACAGAGCTGAACCCTGCTACACTCTGCCCTCAGAGCTTTCACCAGCAGGAAGGCAGAGCTGAATGAGGGGTTGGAATCATGTGACATTGAGATGGGAAGATGCTTTGAAAATGCCTGAATTGGACAAGAAATGAGGCACAGCAGAGAGGGTCAGCACAGACACCCACAGCACTGCCATCCCAGCTGCACTTTCAGAGACTGTGACACAACCAGAATGCACAGACTGCTTTTAGACAGGGATAATCTCAATTCTGCACCTCCAGAACCCAGCTCACTCAAAATCAGGCATCTCTCAGGTTAGAAAACTGCAGAGAAAAGCAACTTCTGCTGAGAGTTTTGGGCAAGTGTGCCTCAAAACCCACCCCATGACAGAGCTGCCAAGCCACAGCTCAACTGTTTTACACTGTGCCTCAGGCATGCTGGGATGTAAGGTCATTGGTCAAGTGCTGAGTCTGTGCAGCAGGAGATAAAATAAGAAAGTGGTGATACACAGCAAATTAGTCTGTGTTTGGATAGCTGAGGACTGAAAACATTTTCCAATTGGATTCATAATTAAACTGGACAAGGGCACATTTCTGTATGAGCAACCATTTACAGGGTTCTCCAGCAGCACAACCTTCCACAGCTGAGCTTCTCAGAAGTGACATGGCTGGAAATAAAATTACAATCACATCAATTCCTCCATAGCAGACACATGTCAGCTACTGATATTCTGGAGGACAGCATCCTCCAGAATAGGAGGGGAAGGAGAAAGTGAAGAATAACCATGCAAATTCCTGCTTTCCTGGACAGGCAGGAAAAAATCCTCTTGTCAAAAGGAGAACAATAAAGCCCCAAACTTCATTGCCAAAACCCACCTGCCCCTCAAGGCCCAAGAGGAGTTTCACCAGCAACAACAGCACTGTTTAACTGACTGTACTGCAGTGAGACACAGCTGGGGTGATGTAAAAGCCCTGCAGTCTTACTTGCCTCCCCTGCACGAGCTGCCCACTGACTGGCTGGATGTTCTCCCTAAATTCCCAAAGATTAGATGATTATCAGCAACCCAAACCACTGCTGGTGTTGCCACACACAGCAGCACACAGCCTTTCCCACGGGCACTTCTCAGCCACCTTCCTGCTCTCAATTTCTGTCCTGCCTAGAAAGCAGAAATCCTCCCAAAAGGGAGCTGGATTTTGATTGTACTGTTGGTATTTGCCTGCTGCAGGAATACAGGCAATCCTGAGGATGGCATTTCCCAGAACACAAAAGTTTCCTCTTTTTCTTTTGCTCTCAGCTCCCAAATCAATGGCAAGAGCTCCAGAAGCAAGTCAACAATGCTCTTGGAGAACCTACTCACCCCAGCCACATAAACCTCAAATCCTTGTCAAAACAGACACTGGAATATGATCATCTGGGTGCCAAGGTGAAGATTTCCAGCAGTAACAATGGCTGCAGAGAAGGGAAGACAAAGACCAGCCCTCCCCTCCCCAGTGGAGCCAACAGCCTGGCTCAGTGGTTGTTATCTCATTACTTACACTTTTACATCCCCCTTGTTTCATCAGCTCAATGAATTCTGTTGCTGAACACTGTAAAAGCACCACCTTTATCAGAGGTTTGTCAGTCTAACACTATGGAGCAGGCAGAGCCATGGAGAAAATACTGATGCTCTGCATGGCCAGAAGGAGTTAAATAAAAACCTTCCCCTGTGACCTCTCCCATAACTCACTGAAATCAACCTTTCTATGAAAAAAAATCCCACTGGTCTAACTGCCTTTGGGTTGGTTACACCCACACAGATAAACCAACAGAAATTTCCCACCAAACTTTTCTTTTTTTTCCCCCTCCCAAAAGGTAAGCAGAGAAGCTTGATCTTACCTGGCAGCTCCAGGCCAGGGTGCACAGTTGCATTTTTGAGCATGGGAGGGGAGTGCCGCCCGTCGTCCATGTCCTGCTCGGTGCACTGCGCCTCGCCGTGGATCACTGCCAGCCCCAGGCGCAGCCTCTCGGCGTAGGACTGAGCCCTGAGAGACAAAGCAGCCCCTCAGGGACCTGCTGGGCTGGGGCAGCTCACAGCCCACCACAGCAAGGCTCTCCCACAGCTGCAGCAAGCACAGGCTGCACCTCTGCGGCCCTTTCGCTGCAAGGAACCTCACTGGATGGGATTCTTCATTCCTTATTAATATCCCACTCTGCCCCTTGGCTCCACCACAGGCTCTCCTGTGTTCCTTCCATGTTTCCAATTTCTTTCTGAGATGGTCAGGCACTGCTGAAACTCCAGCAGCAAGGTGAACCCCAGCTGAACCATCTCAGTGAGACTGCCAGAGTTACACCCATAGGGGTGGGAATACAAAGTTCTATCTGCACCATATCCATCCCATCTCCAGCCACAAAAGAATTATGACCAGATTCTCAACCCATCTGCCACCCTCCCATACTTTCCCTGGTATATCTTCCACCAGCTCAGGTATTTTCCAAATAACTTTTAACCAGCTAGCAAAGGATCCATTTACCTTTTAGCAGCACCGGGAGATTTGGCTACAATAACTGCGTTTCTGTAATCTGGAATCTGGATGTGATAAAAAGTTAATTAATTTTAAAAATATATTCTTCCTAGGGAGTAACTGGTTTGATACATGGCTGAATAATTTCACCCATCCTCCTCCCCAGAACCAAATAATCATTCTGTGACAAGAAACTAGAGAGAAACTGCACTTGCTTCCAATTTGTGTATTCTGCAAAGGTGGGAATGTTCACTGTGTTTAACCCTTTCCATATGGGGATGCCTTGCACTCTCCATGTGGGAATAAATCATCTTTTGCACATGGAGAACAAAACCTCCATGCCCTGCTCCCAGCCCTGCTGTGCTCAGCACTCCTACACTCAGCCCAAGACAAAGTCTATCAATAATTCAGAGCAGACAGAAATCCAGGACAGCACAAAGGGAGAAGGGGAGCAGTTTAACAGGATTTCAGAGGTGATTAGAGGCAGAGGCACAAGCAGCATCTCTCAAATGGCACTAACTCCACAGAGAGCAAGCTCCTCTCCTGCTTGTGCTGCAGTTCAGTTTCTATCCAGTCAGAGAAATGCAACATCTGCCCATGAAACATGCAATAGGTATCCCCTGAGAAAGAATTCATTAACAGAAGGATTGACCTCAACTGACACCATCACCTCTACTTAAGGACAGCCCCAATGCTGGCATGACAATAAAATGAGTTCAGACAAGTTGATATACACAGAACTAGAGTAACCTCACTTCTTCCTGTATATACTGAAGCAGGAAAGGGGATGCTCTCAGGTTGTCTACTGGAAAGCTGAAGAAGCCTTGGATTTCCTTTTGATGAAGGTCCATAGTGATAATGTGTGTTAAACCTAAGGGGGGAAAAAAAGACAACAATTTATTGAAAATATTCCCACGTGGCTGGAGTTCCTTCAACATCTCCATTTTCCAGACTGTTTTAGCTATTACTCAGACTATTATGCCTTGGCATAAAATAATCATGAACAGATGAACACAGAAAGTTCCACAGCCATAATGAGAAGCAGGCATGTGATGCCACAGCACTGGGCTGACTCTGGATTTCACTGTAACATTTCTAGGCCACCTCCCCAGGTGCAAGTTACAAAGAAACACGAGAAAGCTGAAGAAAATCAACTTCTTAATGTGGCTCAAGATCTCAGCAACACATCCCCACATCAACCAGGAGAATGGAAGGGCAGATGAGCTCTGGGATGCCCAGCAGCACCAAAGCTGCTGTGCTGCTGCTCCCTGGGACACTCACCTGCCTTGGCAAGCATTGAAGCCAGCAGCTTGCAGACTATGGAGCCCCTCTTCCTCATTTTGCTCTGTTTGCTGTAGGGGAAGTAGGGGATGACCCCAATGATGTTCCTGGCACAGGAAGTCTTCAGTGCATAGGCCATGATCAGCAGCTCCATGACAGCAGTGTTCACATCTCTAGGAGATTGGAACACAATGCCAAATATTAGCAGGTGTTTTTTCCACTGCAACTCCTTTTCCATTTATACCCAGCTCAGCCCTCACCAAAATCCCAAGGAAATAATGCTGCATCTCAGGTTAATGTATGCCAGACCCAGACTGCAGCCACACAGCTCCTTCCACCACGCCACAACAAATCACAATCAACACTCACACATACAGGACATGACACCAGCACTCAAGAGCTGTGGGCTGGAATTTGATTTTATATTCTAACATAAGGTGAATGATGATTTCCCTCCATAATCTGACAAAAAAGGCTTTGAATAGAATTTACTTTGGAACAAATGTCACTTGATCCAGTGTAATTTGAAATAAAATAGGCTTTTAAAGGAGCAGCACACATGCAGCCAACATAACTTCATCCACACTGGATTTCTTAGGGTATTTTCCTCTTTAACAGTGTAAGGCAGGTTATTTTTCCTGCCTTAAGAAATGATGCAATTGGAGCAGTATAAACTCCAGACACAGCACTTTGGTGGGCAACAGCATCTCCACACTCTTTAGCTGATCTAGAGATGGAAGGAACAACAGCACAGGAAATTCTAGAGGACTGTTTCTTGACAGAAAAAACAACCAAACAAAAAAGTAACCTAGGCAGAGGAATCACAGAATATGCTGAGTTTGAGTATGCACGAGCACAATTCCTAATCCTGCAAAGGACACTCCAACAATCCCACCCTGTCCCTGAGTGCTGCTCAAATGCTCCTGGAGCTCACACAGGTTTGGGGCTGTGGCCACTTCCCTGTTCCAGTGCTCAGCATCTCTCTGGGTGAAAAACCTTTTCCTGATATCAACCTAAACCTCTCCTGACTCAGCTTCAGGCTGTTTCCTCAAGTCCTGTCACTGGTCATGAGACTGAAATATCCCATTTACAGTTTGCTCTCCCACAATGACTGGAGTGGCCCAGTAAAAGTGCATTAATCTGCATTTTAATTAATTTTGGGATGGGGAAAAAAGCTGAGTTCCCTTTAGTTCCCCTTTATTTCTTAAGGCCAGCACCAAGAGACACTGTGTGCATCACCACAGGCCCTGTTTTCCTCCTGACACAGCTTCTCCAAATGCCCAGAGACATGACCCATGACAAACCTCTGACCATTTCCATTTGCCCACTGCTCTCCCCTCCTTTGGAAATTAACCTCCACTTGTGCCCCTTCTTTTGTCTCTGCTGTCCTGCTGGCCCCAGCAGCCTGTGCACACAATGCCATTTACACACAAGAAAGCTTTGTTGGCTCTGGAGCACCCAGCCAAGAATTACATAAAACACAGCCCCCTGCCACACAGGACAACAAAGAACTGTTTCTTCCCTTTGGTGATTTAGCTGTGCCAGTGGGGCTGGGAGAGAAGAAAAAGATGCTACTATCAGTGTCATACAAAAACAAAGTGGTCAAACTGAAGCCTATTGAAAGTTCATCTGAGAAACTCAGTATTTTTCATCATTATTTTTCAAGTTATTCTTTGAAAATCCACACATATTCACATGGAAAGCAGGTAGAGAACAAGACTGGGGCTTCAAAAGGCACCAGCAGTCCTGGTGCTGCTGCAGGACACTGTGACAGTGTTCATGTTCACAGGGGTCTGAGGATGAGGGAAGAGATGAGGATCTGACTCCATGTTTCAGAAGGCTTGATTTATTATTTTATGATATATATTACATCAAAACTATACTTAAAGAATAGAAGAAATTATTTCTTCAGAAAGCTGGCTAAGAATAGAATAAGAAGGAATGATAACAAAGGTTTGTGGCTCAGACTCTCTGCCTGATTGTGCTGACTGCAATTGGCCATTAATTAGAAACAATTAACATGGGCCAATCACAGATGCACCTGTTGCATTCCACAGCAGCAGATAATCATTGTTTACATTTTGTTCCTGAGGCCTCTCAGCTTCTCAGGAGGAAAAATCCTAAGGAAAGGATTTTCCATGAAAGATGTCTGTGACAGGACACCAGCAGCCACACTGATGAGAAGTTATCCAAGCAGGGGACTTCTCCCAGCATTCAAGCAGGACCCCAAGCTGGACTCTGGGAAGCTCCTGCAGAGCAGCAGCCACAGGCACTGGGCAGAGGTGGATGTGTCTGTCTGTCCCTCCAGCAAGGCCAGGGTGGGTGGGCTGAGATGGTTTCATGCTGAGGCACCACTGACCTGCTCCTCTGCAAGGGGCACTGACCCCAGCCAGGGGCACCAGCTGGGAAAAATGACAGTGGTGGAGGAAGCGCAGCCCCAGCATCTCCCTGACAGGAACCCAAGGGAGTACCCCAGGGCTCCCTGCTGCACCCCAAGGGAGCATCCCAGCTCCTTACTGCATGCCAGGCTCCTTGCTGCACCCCAGGCTCCCTGATGCACCCCAAGGGAGCACCCCAGGGTTCCTTGCTGCACCCCAAGGGAGCACCCTAGGGCTCCTTTCTGCACCCCAAGGGAGCACCCCAGGCTCCCTGCTGCACCCCAGGGTTCCTTTCTGCACCCCAAGGGAGCATCCCAGCTCCTTGCTGCACCCCAAGGGAGCACCCTAGGGCTCCTTTCTGCACCCCAAGGGAGCACCCCAGGCTCCTTGCTGCCCTCCCCATCTCCAGCCCTGAAGCCATGCTCAGTTAGTTACTGCAAGGATGGCTGAGCCAAGACCTCACACAGGGGCTGGCAGCTCATCACCAGGACACTCAGAGACAGCTCAGCTGTCCCCCACACCCTGCTGGCCACACCAGAGCTGCTCCTGATCCCTGCCTGGGCCACCCCTGCTCTGGAGGCTGAGCAAACACCCTATGTGAAACTCTCCATGGACTTTGCAACAATCACCACCAACACTCAGCACTAAAAGGCTCCTTTTGCCTTTATGGTACCACAAAATCACCAAGCCCTTCATTTTTCTATTTGATTTTTCCCTCACACAAATGCCAGTCCGCGCACCAGTCCTGGATGGTAACTGTCCTTGTCACCCTTTTTTTGGTTGTGCTACAGCTTCTATGACAGAGAGCCTGTATCAAATATTCAGGTCTTTCTGTGATCTCTGTGCATTTAAGATGCAGACTGTGAATTCACACTGCAGCACAACAAGGTTGTTTCCCTGTCTACTAACAAGTCCTAATATTTTCTTTTCAAACCACTACTGAGTGTAGAAATCCTATTCTTAGATTATTCCCCACAGTTGTTGTTCTGACTCTCCTGAAAAGCTCCCTGAAAGCCACTGCAGAACTGAGATGTCCTTGAAGCTGTCCTCTCCAGCAATGCAGCAAGGCACAGCTGCAGTTCAGGAATGAAAGATGACTTGGCTGCACAACACTGGCTCCTCACCTGGAGGGCCTTGAACATTCTGGCTAAAAAAGATCCATTTCTTGGCCCAAATCACTGAACTCAGTTAATGGAAAAACAAGGGGATCAACAAGTTACAACCAAAGGGGAGGTTTTCCCCTCCCAAAACTGCTCCTGTCCCTAATGCCCTGAGTTAGCTCTCTGAACACTTGATCTGTTTCATGTTTACACAGCTCTCAGTTACAGGTTATTCCAGAAAACTCCTTCACAAGGGACAACAGAATGGCACCATTCACCCAAAACATAATCCTGCAGCAGGGGATTTTCATCTTGCAGTGATTTAGCTGCTCCCTGAGGGAGGAAACACTTGGGGCATCTCTCTGGAGAGAGATGAGCCCTAGGAACATGTTTCTGCCTGCAAGAGGAATTCCAGAAGTGAGTAAGCTGCTCTAGGAGTCCTACTGATTTCTCTGCAACAGGCCAAGCATTTCACAGAGGAAATGAACTTGAATTCTCAGTGGGCTCTACTTCTCTGGCAAGCAAGGAAAAATCCTGTATCCAAGCAATTCTGCTCCCTGCTACTTTTGAGCTAAAATTAAGCTCTGCTAACTTATTACTTCTTGTGATCTCCAAAATCTGAGCAGAATTTGGTAACTTGGAAAAAGCTATCAGAGCAGGAATGTCCTTGGTTTGTTCATATCAATACCTCATCCCTGAAAACAGGACCAAGGACCAAACCAAGGACCTCCTCTATTCACAGCAGGTCAATTTGAAGTTATCATTTATTTGTAGGCTCCCTTCCCATCACCCTGGTGCTGTTCCTGAGGCAGCAAGGTTCCTGGGGTTACCCATGCTTTTCTAGCCCCCTGTTTATTTGCAACACTTCTCTTACTGCAAGCCTAAAACAGCCCAAAATCAAACCCAAAAAGGCCCACCATCATCACAAACTGTAAAAGCACAGGAGGGAGGCTGTGGAATTCCACCAGTTCAGTTCCACACCACTCCAGCAGAAGGAGAAGAGTAATCCAGCCTGCAAGGAAAGCAGCAGCTGCTGTTTGATGGTGGCTCTGCTGCCTGGTGGTTGGGAGGCAGAGGAAAATCCCCCATCCTGGGGTGGAAATCCAGTCAGACATCACCCAACAGCTGAGCCTGCAAGGCCACAGAGCAGGGAGGCTTCAGTGGAAAGCATCAGTCACTCTGTTCTGCCTCAAGTGACACACTCCAGCTATTTGATGGGAAGCTGCAACCAATCCCCTGGGAATGTTAACAGCTTAGCACTATGTGAGCCCTAATCTCAGTCACTGCAATGACAACAGTGCAATTCCACTGCTCACTGTGCTGCTTTACAGTGAGCAAACCACTGAACCATCCTGATCCAGGCATCCAAACCTGAGCCACAAGTGCCTCACCTGGGGATTGTCTGTATGATGAAGATATCCTGTCCACGGACAGACTCTTTTATTTCAACTCTTGTTTCTGCAAAGGATGGAAAACAGAGTCAGATTTGTTTCCAAACATCAGGTTGACAGTGACAACACACCATGCTGTAGCAGGAACCTTGCCCCCTGGTCAGGGCAGGTAAGGACTCGCTCCTCTGCCCTTTGTGCATGCACATACACAGATGAGCCAAGTGGATTTTCCAAAGGCTGGACCTGGGTACAGTTGGCATAACACACTAGTGAGTTAGCTATATTTACAAAGCAAAAGCAAGCTGAAATAGCTGTTTATTTTTTATAGAATTTAGAATTTTAGAATTTTAAAATTTAGAAGACAATTTACCTAACTCTCAATGAGAAATCATTTTCATGCTTCCATGAAGTGCTGAGAGCTGTAAACAGCACATTCATTAGTGAGCAGTTAACCACCCAAGGCAGAACAACCTTCAGTACTTCCAAAAAGGTAACTCAGCACTTTTTGCACTTTGCTCTTTCAGTTTACCATGAGATCAGCTCTATGCTGGCTGGAGAGCTCAGGGCAACACCAGCAGCACCAAGTTCAGAGCAAGAACTTCCCAATCTCAAGACATTCCAACACTGACACAGGCTGGAGGTCTCTGCTGAGCACCACCCCTATAGTCCCTGACTCAAATGCAGAATCACAGAAATTCTAGGTTGGAAGAGACCTTTAAGATCATCGAGTCCAACCCATGTTCTAACACCTCAACTAGATCATGGCACCAAGTGCCACATCCAGTCTTTTTTTAAACTCTTTGAGGGATGGTGACTCTACCACCTCCCTGGGTAGATGATTCCAGTATTTGACCACTCTTTCTGTAAAATACTTCCTCCTTAATTCTAGCCTGTATCTTTCTGTAAAATACTTCCTCCTTAATTCTAGCCTGTATCTCCCTTGGCACAGCTTGAGACTGTGTCCTCTTGTTCTGTCTGTTGTTGCCTGGAGAAAGAGACCAACCCCCAGCTCACCAGAGCCACCCTTCAGGGAGTTGAAGAGAGTGATAAGGTCACCCCTGAGTCTCTTTTTCTCCAGGCTGAACAACCCCAGCTCCCTCAGTCGTTCCTCATATGGCTTGTGCTCCAAGCCCCTCACCAGCCTCGCTGCTCTCCTTTGGACACGCTCAAGCATCTCAATGTCCCTCCTGAAGCTGAGCCTGGAGCAGCTCTCAAAGCCAAACAATGACTGCAGGTTCCCCAAGGTGCCTCCCTCAGCCATTCCCTTCCCACACAGTCCTGAGCTGGAGGGCAGGGGTGAGGAGGAGGAGGAGAGACAGCTCCTCAGCTGTGCAATTCCAATTGCCTTGGCCTGGCAGTGACCCTACAGGGCTCTGCTGAGAGCAGACTCATTTGCTGGGCAGTGATGAAAAACCACTTCAGACCTCAGAGCAAGCAACCTTTTTAATTGATTTAAAACCAAGCCCAAAGGGCAGCGAGCTCTGCTGGGCAGGAATGCACCAGGCAGCCCAAGCACAAGCACAGCAGCTCTCCCACTGTGAGGCCCATCCTGGCTGCAACAGCAGCAGCACCCCACAAACCCTCCATCCCTTCCTCCAGTCTGTAGCAGCTCTCTGGTTCTACTCTCTCTTGCAAACAAGGTATCAGAGGTCTTGAAACAGTAAATGACTCTTGGCCACAGAACTCTGCTGGCCAATACCTTTGTGTTTTAGCCCAGCATCTGAAAGTGGTCACTTGCAGAGTATTAACCTCCTTAAAAACAAAAGCAACCTCCAAGAGGCATTTTCCCCAGCACAGCCATAAATTTGCACTTTTAAAAGCAAGGGCAGCTGTAAATTCTGTGTGACAGGGAAGGGCTGAAAGAAAGGGATAATTTAAAAGCTCACAAGGCAGACACTGAAAAAGCAGGGCATTACTTTTAAATCTGGAGATGTTTTGCTCAGCATAAGAGCATAAAAGATTTGGCAGCAGCTAAAACCTGAGGCAGAACTCTAGAGGAGAGTTTGCAGATGGGCAGACAAACAAGATAACCAGGGAAAACAAGAAACATGTTTAATTGCCTTGTCCAAGGTCAGCCTTGGAGGTTTAGCAGTGCCAGGAGCAGCAGCAACATCACAGCTGAATCACTGCACTTCTTAGACAGGTCTGGCCAATGGAGGTGCCCAGCATTTCTAAGATTACCTCAAAACAGTTGCAAATAGCAGAGATTTCTCTTACCTCCATTGGTTTCCTGGTACACCACAGATTTCCCCAGCTCAGCACCGAGACGCCTGCAAAGAAGAAAAGGACATTAGACATGGAGAAATGGAGGAAGCAGCAGTTTGTGCTGCCAAGCAGGACTGGACCAGGTCACACACCCCCAAAACACAGCACTGCCCAAGAGGGAGCCGAGTGAGGCAGCCAGGCTGCAGAACTACATCATCCTCCCTTCCCTGGGGGTCTCTGGTGGCCCTGAGGGGGCCCTGGGACACAGAGCTCTGCAGCAGGTCACTGCTGTGCCCAGAGCTGTGGGAGTGACCACAGGCTGTGATCCTGATGGCAAAGGACACCTTGCCAGCCTCTGCAATGCCCCCTCGGGCAGCTCTGATGTGCAACGAGAGTTCAATGATTTACTCAGACTCAATTAACAGCACCTGAGTCACTTCTTTTGACTCCCACCTCTTTTCCTTTTTCTCCTTGAACCTTCCTTCTGAAATAACTCAAATGATTAATGAGATTTTAACTTCAGGTTTTTTATTTTATCAAATTACTCCTTCCTTTTCTCAAATATCAAATCTACAACACTCATCGCAACAAAGATTAGTCACCTTCCTTCTCTTTTTTAATTTCTTTCTTACAAAACAAAGACTGACTTTGAAGAGCATTTGAAAAGGCTCCAAAATGCAGACTTTTCCCTCAGGTGACACTTCAGTATTTAACTGTACTGACAAGTAATCCATTAGTAAGTACTTAAAGGCTGTTGTGCTTTAACCTGAGCCAGCAGTGGAGATGCTTTGGCCAAGTGAGATGGAGTGGGGCAATTCCCTCCTCTCCCAGGATCTGCTCTGTGGCCATGGCCACACAATGAATTAGGAAACAGTTTATGCCTGAAAAAGACCTTTGTTCACCACACTGACTGTGGCAGCAGTTTCCTGCCTGTACTTGTACTGTATTTACCTGGATATGTGCCAAAATTCTGCAGATCAGGACTAACTCCAAACAGAAGAGTCCAGATCTTCTGCTGGGTTTTTTTTCTGGTCTACAGCCTTGCAGTTGGTCTCACTCCATCTCCTCAGCCACTAACTCAGCCCTGCACTTCAATTGTCACAAAGATCTGTGCTGTCAGAAGTGAAAGCAACACAGCCTGACCCTGGCTTGCTTCTGTGCCATCAGCAACTGCTGGGCTCAGCTGTGAGCCAAAGCTGGAGGTCCCAGCTGGAGCTGGCCTGGAGAGTGTGCCTGGGACAGCTGAGATAACAGACACTCGGATGCCATGGGATGTGTTTGCTTAGCTGGCTCCAGAGCACGTCCTGGCACACACCCCCTGCCCACTGAGTGTCTGGCAGCACGTTTTGCAATGGCTGGGCTGGTGACTAAACTGCCACCACGAGAGCTGGACGTGCCAGACTGTCACCAGCCCTGCTCAGGCACAAATGCAGCATCCCCTGGAGAGCTGGATGTGCCAGACTGTCACCAGCCCTGCTCAGGTACCACCTGCAGCATCCCCTGCAGCCAGACAAGCCTCACAGATCTCTGCCTGGGCTCCTCTTAGCTCAGCTGGGTTAAAACTTGCAGCTGCAATGCAAAGGCATCCTCAGTATCTTCAGTGTCAAGTATCAGCAAGCCTGGGCACCTCAGGGCCAGACTGACACAAGAGGTGAGTTTTGCAGGTGGGATCTTGCTGTTCTGATGAGGACAGTCTGGCATCTGCAAGCACCAGGCTTAGTCCTAATCACTGCTAAGGTGTTGGAGGTTTTTTCAGAAATGGCTTAGAAGGCAGCTGTGAGGAGCAAATTCTCACAGCCTGTTTCTGTAAACAGTAGAAGTTCTCAGGTTGTTTTTAATTACAAGTAAAAGTGACAAACATGAAGGCCTTGAGAACCTTGCATACCAGAGTTCTCAGGCAGCTTTCTCATAACAAGTAGATATTCTATCTTTGGCTGTTTTGGGAAAGTAAAAGTAAGTTTTGAGAACACAAATCTTGGTATTGGAAACAAAAGGAGGGGTTGGTGTGTTATCTCTGGCCTATTGTGAGCTCGGGTTTGCAATATGCATGAACTTAATTAACACGGTTATAAAAAGTGATTGATTGAGTCAATAAAAAAGTGATTGATTGAGTCGATGCTGATCAAGGAAGATGGGTCTTCTCCACTTCAATACTAAGGCATCTGAGTCCAAACAAGCTCAGAAACACACACCCCCAGCCTAGAGCAGTGTGTGGTGGGAAATGTTTAATGACTCACACTTGTTCCTCCACAACTGCACGGCAAGTCTTGCAAGCTCCCCTTGGAGGCACGTGTGCCCTGACCTCACTGCACACAGCACAATCCCACCTCAGCACTGGGGAAAAGAAATCCATTGGAGAGCCTGTGCAAGTGCTCTTAGTCAGCCCTGCATCTCAGGGCAAGGAAGGAAAGCTTCAAAACCAGTCCAGGCAGACTCATCTCAGCAAAACAGCCCTTGGAAGGTGGCACTTTCAGTGCTAAGTGCTGGCAAACAAAACCAGATTTGGGGTGCTCAAGGGGAAATGCTCTCGTGTTGTGCTAGAGGAGGTTTAGATTGGGTATTAGGAAACACTTTTTCCCTGAAAGGGCTGTCAAGCCTTGGAACACACTGCCCAGGGAAGTGGGAGTCACCATCCTTGGAGGGGTTTAAAAGCCATGGAGATATGGCACCTTTGGCAGAGCTGGGTTAACAGCTGTGCTCAGTTTGAAAGCTCTTTACCAACTTCATGATTCCATGATGGAGCCAGCAGAAAGCAGAGCCCAGTGCTCTCCTACTCAGCACAGAGCAGCAATGCAGTTTGTGTGCTGCTGAAACAAGAAATCACAAGTGCAAATTTGCTCCCATGGCGAGAGGAACCAAACCAGCCTGGCTTGGGGCACTAAAAGAGCTCAGTTGTCAAACCTGGGTGCAGGGAGCAGCAGACACAAGGCAGATGCCAGCTTAGGAAAATGAGCAGCTCTAGCCAGACAATAAATCCCAGCTCTGCTCCAACTGCTGACTACAAGTAAACAAGAGCAGTGGATATGAGCTAAAACTGCCCATGAAAGTCCCAGAGCAGCCCTGCCTGCAGCACTGCAGAGGAGCCACAGGCACAGCAGGGTCCAGAGGCAGCTCCCCCAGAGCAGCTGAGGTATGTGCACCCACCTGGCACCAAATCCCCTCCTCCAGGCCTCACTTAGACAAGGTATCAGCCAGGGAAGGAGTCTGATAAACCCTGACTGAGTCAAGAACAATAAAGAGGGGACTGTTGGTACAATTCCTGCTGTGAAGCACCAAATTCCACAGGACTTTATCAAAAGGGATATTTGCATGGAAGTCAAGGGCAGGGCACACACACAGCCCGGCAGCAGCCAGAGTTCAAAGATAAATTTCCCCTTCCTATTACCTCTCCCTTGTTTTCTCTTCCACCCCAAATCTTTTCTCTCAAAATCCTCTCCAACCTGAAGTTCCCAAGTGGTTGTTGCTTTAGAGGATAGAGGAATTGAATTGACAGCAAGGGCTGTTTGCATCCAGCCCCAGGACTAACAGCATAATCACAAGAACCTGGGCTACCACAGTTACTGATCACTCCTCTGCAGACACAGGCAGAGCTGCCCTAGGACAGAGAAAGTGCCACTGCAGGTAACCCAGACCACACACCCAGAGATAAAGCTGCTTCTGGGAAAAATAACATTTTAAGTCCTGCAGATAAATCACATCTCCAAGCAAAATAAGCTGCTATCCTCACACTAGCTCCATCACTACACCAACTCCTCTGGGACATGACAGCATCTAAGAGAAAAAAAACCAAAACAAACCAAACTCTTTATGGCTTTAAAAATCCTACTCAGAGCATTTGGCCAGTAAAAATTCCTATTGATCTGGAATCTGTAAACACTGCCCAGGAAGGATGATCTAACTTTCTGCAGTCTCAAAACATGCCAAGAGGATATGAAGCTGTGAATACAAAAGTGTTTATAAAACATGTCTCAAATTCACATCCAAATGCAAACAGCTCAGGAGTCACCTAGGGTTTAATGAGGAAGTGACACACTGCAGCATTTTAGGAAACATTGTATCAGACTGGACTTTTTTGCTGAAGACTCAAAAATCACTGTACCAGGCTCTTGAGACAAAGGGCAGCCAGAGAGACTCCACGTTCAGCTGAAGCAATTTCGAGGGGCAGATGTACTCCCAGTGTTCTGTGCCATCAGAGCCTGTTTCAGTGCCCTCAGCAAGGCTGTGCTTCCTTGCCCCCCTCTGTGACCAGAATCCAAGACATTTGTCAGGTTATCTCCAAAGGAGCTTCAGGCCAGCTCACAGCACTAACATTCCATGTGAAGAGAAATCTGCACACAAAGCTCTTAATTATGATATTTTATTTTGGCAATATCCTCTTCATTATAAACGCTTTCCCTGGTCTCAGCTCTGCAAACTCCCAACTCTGCCCACATATACAGACTCCAGGAACTGGTGCAGCCTCAGGAGGAGCTGGAGCAGAGGACACAGGGTCTGTGCTGTGCCTGACTGTGGCCAAATCAAGGCACAGCCTGACTCTGAATTGCTTTTCAAACTTGAACAAATCTTTAAATAAAGATCAGTCATGGTCCAGCCAGCACAATGGCAGCTCTGCTGTGCACTTCCTAATCCCCCCGTATGAGAACAGCCAGGAAAGGAAAAGGGAATGGCAGCTTCCTGGATACAATCTGTTGAGATATCCTTAAAACTATCTGAGCTCTCCTTTGCCTCTCTCCATCCACCCAGCACAACTGGATATTTGAAGAATATCCAGAAGTCCCTACTGCTCATTTGCCACAAGAATCACTTGTTGCAGCCACACCAAAGCCATGCAGCCCAGCTAGTGGCAAACACCAGGCAGATCTTGCTCTGCTCCCACCAGCCCACTCCTGGAGAAGGAACTTCCCCTACAGCTGTGCTGGCCAGCACAGAAAGCTCCACATGAGCCCAGCCTGCTCATTTATTCTGTGCTCCACCTGAACAGCACAGAGATGCTCTGACTCCCCTCTGCCACCTAAAGAATACATTTCCTTCCAGAAATCCCCCTTCAGCTGAGGGAGGCTGCTGCAAGTCCTCTGAATGTACAGTCTGCCCCCAAAGCAGGGCTCCCCTCCCATCCAAACACAGAAAACACCACCCTGGCTTTAGTGCTGTGACCCAGCTCCCTGCAGCCACAGGCCCAAACACAAATCCCCACGTTCTCCTAATTCCATGTTGTTCAAGCTCATGGCAATGCTTTACCTTCAGCTCACCGGCATTTTCCACGCTGCAAACTGAGTGAATCTCTGGAATACTCACATCCAGGGCTGGCAGTGAGACAGCATCACATCCCACAGCACAGAGCTGCAGGAGCTCTGGGGAGGCATTAGCAAGATTCAATCACCACCCCCCTCCAAGCCAAACACATAAGCAGTGAGTAGAATCTAATATTTGTACCTGCTGAGCCAAGCACTGCAGTCAGAGGGAGATCTAAATGCATCTGTTGGATTAAAGATCAAAAGGATTTCCTAGGTCTGCCTCCCTCCAGAACATAGGCCCATTAGGGACCACAATTAGGACCCATTAGGTCACAGAAATTATCTTTCTCCCCTGAAAATGCAGTTTGTAATCAGGTCCCAAGTCTCCTAATTACAGCAAGAGTTTTCTTTCTATAATGGAAAGAATTTTAAATAAAATAATCATCACTCTCAATTTATAAGGGAAAAGTAAATATATGGGTTTATTTATGTTTCAGGGGTGCTGAATCTAAGGAACATCTCCACTATTTCAAGTTTCACAAGGTCTTCATAATCCAGAACCATCTCCTCTCCCTGGCAGTCACTACCACCAAATAAAGCTCTGAAAACCTGAAGTGAAAGCAAGACTGATCATCAATCTCTGTCCCATAACTAGAGAATGCTCAAGGGGAATGATGAAGATCAGAACTGTGCCAGAACATGATGCTCAGAGCCTGAAATGAAAGCAGCTCTGGAAGTTCTGCAGAAAACAAAGCAAGGAGATAAATCAGGTGTCTGAAAGCTGGGCAGTGTCACACTGCTCCTCTCTGGGCTTGAGATTTTAAAAAGGATAAGTCAGAACCACTCAAGTAGAGATCTTAAGCTCACACCTACAGGTAAAGGACAGAGCTCAGATGGAGAGGTGTCTCAAGGGGCCCTCCTAATATTGTGTGTTGTTTTAAAGTTCTTTTAGTACTTTTACTCAAGGTCATAAAAAAACTTTAAAAGGAACGCACAATATTAGAGGACAGACTCACCCTTGTAAGATTGCTCCAACTCTATTTAAAGGTGCAACTGACCTCCCCAGCAAAGAACAGGCTGAGATGTGAGATGGGGGAAAGGCAGCAGCCACGCATCTTTTGCAACCTGAAAGAACAAGGGATGTGTTACAGGTCAGCTGAAACAGCCCTTGAGCTCCCAAGGGAAGGCAGTGCAAAAACACAGCACCAGATGCTGAAAATACCTTGAATTTTGGGAGACTTTTTACTGTGCGCAAATCTGTACTGCACAGAGTTCCAGATTTTGCACCCACAGCAAAGATAAATGTCCTTAAGCCTCAGTTAAACAGCAGCTGTGTGTCACAGGGCTGTGCTCATGCCACCATCCCACTGATGGCAGAGCCAAGGCAGAAACCTCACACTGCTGCTATTAAAAATTTACTTGGTGAGAGATCGAGGAGGGAGTGGAGAGGTCATTCTGGATCCAGATCCTGCCTCTTTCCCCCTCAGAGCATCCCTGGGATAACATCAGCACACCACCCCAGTCAGCACCACAGCCTGGGGAAGCCTCTGCATGTCTCTTCTCATTTCATCTCTAAAAAGAAGGGAGTTATTTTTAAGACAAAGAGCAAGGAAGAAGGATGGCCTGTTTGCTCCTCCAGTCCTGAGAACTGGGAGCTCGTCCCCAGGGGAATTCTGTTGTGCTATGTTGATGCAACAGAACAAGCCCTCCAGAACTCTGTCCCATCTGCTGCAGCAAAACTTATTTTTATAGAGAGATATATTAATTTCAGAGTTCAGCGAAAGAACTGACCAAAGATAGCAAGAATACATGAGCCAAAAAAAAAACAAAACCAAAAAAGCTTTCCACTCCCAAACACAAGGATTTTCCTCTTAGCCTCACACTTGAAGAAGTTCATCACTATTATCCAACACACCTCCCAGCCAAACAGACAAGTCAGCTCTGTGGAGATAATCTGTGCTAAGGACTGAACACTATTTATTAAGTGAGCAGGACAAACAGCAAAGTGTTTTCGTAGTTTAAGGTGGCAGCACACCTGTACTTAAGTCCTACTTCCAATTTAAACACACCCTCGGAGATGGGAACGGGACACAGACACCTAGAAAGGATAACTGGGATGCTGTAACCTGCAGCAGGGAAATAAGCACTGAGACCCCTCGATTTTGGGATCAATTGCCTATGAACAGTAGCTGAGAAACAGCATAAAGAAAATCCAGACCCTGTTCTAAGCTGACAGCCCAATACACAGATGCCCTTCTCAGAATAGTCCCTTTGGCTGGGACTGCTCCAATTTGAACCGAACTCATTCAAGTGCTGGGGGAAACTCAGAGCTCTGTGCACCAAGAGCCCCGTTTTGGAGGCAGCTGTGACAGCCTTCACTCAGCAGGACCCAGCGCACCTGTCCCGGACAAGACAAGGTCAAACTCTGCCTAAACTGATGGGCTGAAGAAAACGGGGCAGACTTTTACCCCGCACCAAGCAGCACAGGCTGCCCAGCTCTCCCAGCTCCGCTCTGGTCAGCGCAAGGTTCGGTGCCGATGTGCACATGGACACTCCCCTTGCCCCAAGCACCGAAGCTGTTGGGAAAACCAGGTCAGGAGTCGGAGAAAGTTTTGAGCTAAAACAGCTTTTCTGAGGTTTGTCCAGCCAAGTTTCACCTCCTCCCTCCCCAAAAGTAACAGCTTTTGCTGCAGCCCAGCCTCTCCAGCAGTGAAATGGACGTCAAAGAAGGGAGCAAGCGGCGGGTCCATTTCCATCGCTGGCTCAGGCAGAGCTGGTGAAGATTCCCAGAGCAAAATCTCCACAAAGGTGTTCGCAGGAGACGCCTTGGCAAGGCGGGGGGATGCCAGAAGCTTCTCCAGCCGCTCGGAAGGGCTCCTGCCCGCGCAGGGGAGCGATGGGGGAGAAAGAAACTTGAAAGAGAAGGCAACTTACTCCGTGATCTTCTTCGCCAGCTCGGTGGAGGCTGCGGTGGAGTTGGCCGAGAAGACCCGGTAGCCACTTCTGGCCGCGTTCATCGCCAAAGAGTCATGCAACCCCCGGGGAGCTCGAAAGTGAGAAAAAACAGATTTATAAGGCAACAAGAGCTTCCGTGGCATCCTTTTCTTTCCTCTCCGCCGCGATCACCGCCCCTTAAGGGGTGGGGAAGAGGAGGGTGGGGACCCTTCCGCTACCTATGGACTTGCTGCTCCATTCCTGCGGCAAAGTATGAACGGGAGGGTGGAGGTTATGATTATTAAAATAAAATGGAGCAGCGGCTGCCTCGGGGAGCAGAGGGGTAGACAGGCAACGGGTAACCCCACCCCACACCCACCCAGTGGCCCCTCATGCAGGAGGGGAGGGATGAGCCCAAAATGAGGGCGGGAGCAAGGCGGAGAGGGGCTGCCTTGGCTGGAGAAGGTGCGGGTGAGCTGAGGGAGAAAGGCTGGGGGCGTTCTTTGTGATGCAGCAGGGCAGGACCGAGGTCTCCATGGCGGGGTAGGAAGTCTCTGTGAAGGGGGAGGTCTCTGGGGTTGACGGTCCCATCCCGCTCCCCTCACCCAGCCAAGCACGTCCCGCCACCCCGCCGGATCGCCGCTCCCTCCGCCGCCATCTTCTCGGCGGGAAAAGCCCGCCCCCCGCCGCCATCTTAGGTGAGGGCACCGCCACCACCGCGCTCCCCGTCACGGCGTCCCCTCACCGCCTGCCCCAACTGCGCCGGTACCTCGGGAGGACAGCGGCAGAAACGTCCCTCCTCGGGGGATAAGTACACTTCCCGCTGCCTGAGGGCGGTTCAGAGCGCGGCTGCCTCCCGCTTGTGCTCGGCGGTGAGAGGCACGGGGTGTAGGCGGTGGCTGAAGTGCCCGTGCCGAAGATGGCGGCGGGGGAAACGGAAGCGCGGCAGCGGCGGCGCTCGGGCCCCGCTCTGTGGCGGGGGCGGCGGGAGGATCCGCCCGGGCCGCGGCTCCCGCACCTCCTTCCTGAGGGAACGCTCCGTGCCCGGCGCTCCGCTGTCCGCTCTGGAATCCTCACGGGTACAGGCACTCAATGGCTTAGTTAAATAGGAAAGGTCAGCTCCAGCCCATCTGGCAGAGCGCTGGGCTGACCTTTCCATGCACTGAAAGTGTGCTTATATATCTATAATAACACCTATAAATGAAATATATTAACGCGTATATTAGAAATAATATACACTTTTATAGGTAACATACATAGCGTATATAAAATATTAAATATATAACATAATATATAGTGTGCATATCACATATAATATGCATAATATACATTATATTATATATTAAATATACAAATGTGTATAATTAGTAATTATATATAAAATATATATTATATGCTATATATGTTATATGCATAGAATACATGCATATATATATAAGGAGGAGGTGAAACTTGGCTGAACAAATTTATTTTATATATATAGGTACTTACACTTTGTTTAAAAATTTTTAATATATGTACAATATGCATCTCAGCCCTGGCAGCTGGAAAATGACAGGAGGTGCCAACACTGTCAGGATCCATCCCCTGTGGTCGGGATGGATCAGAACACCCCATAGTGCAGCAGAAATGAGGGTACATGACAGAAATTATGTGTTGCAGAGAAGGTAAACTGCATTAATTTAGTCACCAGCATCACCCCACATCACTCAGCTCACCCTGGAAGGAGAGATTTTTCCTGGCAGTTCTCTAAGTTGCCTGTGTCCTCCCAGCTGGGAGTGAGGGAGAAGGAGAAGGAGGCCTGGTGGTTTCATTCAGGACACTGATGAGGTTCCCCTCCATGACCCAGTGGCTTTGCAGCTGCTCTGGTGTGTGACAGCCACGGTGCCTCCAGCAGTGAGTCCCTGTCACAGCCTCAGCTGGACAGCGCTGCCATCAACCCCCTTAGCTGACACTCCATTAAAGGTTGTCTCTCTCAGACATCCTCAATGCAAACAAGACAGAACTGTCCATGTCCCCTCTGTATGCCAGCACTGCCCAAGGACTGGCATGGAGAGTTCTGTCTCCCTTCACCACACCTGGTGACACCTTACCTGTCCCTGCAGTTCCAGCCCCACATCTCCCTCCTGCTGTGCCTCCTGCGGGTCCTGAATTCATGGTTTGTCAGAGCAGGGGCTATTCCAGCTCAGCTGTAGGGGCTATTCCAGCTCAGCTCCCACATTCCAGCTCATTCCCCCAAGGCAAGGCAAGAGCTGACAGCATCAGCTGCCCGAGTTCACTCTGAGGAGGCAGCACAGCCAGGCATGGGATTCTGATCAGCCCTCCAGGCTGGCATCATCCTGGGGTGAATCCACAACATCCATCAGCCAGAGAGCCCTGACCCCCCTCCTGGGCACCCCAGCCCCAGGCTGAGAGCAGTCACAGCACCCATGGTACAGGCAGTCACTCCTCACAGGTTCCTGCCTTTGTCCTTCGAAAAATTTGGTGAGAGCCAGACTTTTTTTGAGGTGGGAAGCTGGCTGCTTCCTGAGGCCCCTCCTGCACCCACCAGAGAAATGGCAGTTCCCAGGGGAGCCAGGGAGATCTTGCTGCAGGGGGAGAATGCCCAAAGGGTGGGGAGGGAATTGTGCCACTGCAGAGCACTCAGCCCTCCTCTATATAAAGCCCTTCTCTGCCTGGAATCAGGCATGTGGAGAAGGAAGGACTGTTTATCCCTTCCCAGCTGGCTCCTGGCTCAGCAGCCTCAGCACAGCAGCCCAGGGGTGATGCTGTGGCATCTGAGTGCCCTCAGCCTCCTCCTGTCACCATTCCTGCTGTCCCGTGAGGTGCTCAGAGCCATCCCAGCCATAAGGGATGGATCTCATCAGCATTGTCACTTCCCTGCCCTTTTCCCACCTGCTGAGGCTGAGATGCAACAAGTTTGTAGGTTCTGCTGCAGGGCAGACAAGGTGTGCACACCTTGGAGGGGCTGGCTGTCCCAAACCCCCTCGTTTTGTGCTCCTGAGATTCCCCCTCAGTGAATCACCGGCTTCATCCCCACGGGGAGAGGCCAGAGGCTCACAGGGGTGGCCCTGCCAGTCCCACCGGGATCGTTGCTGAAGCTGCAGGGTTGGGATCAGCCCTGGCAAGGGTGGCAGGCAGAGATCACGCTGTTATCACTGCCACAAGCAGCCTTTCTCCTGCAAAGGGGAGCGACTCTGATTTCTCTGCGGGCTGAAGGTCACGCTGGGTTTTACAGCCACGCAAAGGAGAAGAAAGGAGCAATTTTGTTTACTTAGGGAGTCATTAATATCCCAGCTGCTGGCATGTACCGAGGCAGCAGGAACCTCCCCCACAGAGCAGCAGAGAGCGAGGCTGTGCAGCCTTTTATTATTCCATTATCAGGCAGGCAGGATTAGGAGGGCGGGTCAGGGAACAGTGCCGGCTTTGAGCAGGTTTAGCTCCTTTCCAAAGGCTTATCCCGGCTCAGTCTCACTCTCTGGACTCCACTCACTTATTCTCTACGTGGAGGGGTTTGAGTAATGCTGGGGAGAGAGTGGGCACGGGGTCATGGAGCTTTAAGGGCTCAGCAGGCAAAACCTGGGAGGTTCCTTTAGCAGGAACTCATTTTATATGTGGAATTTCAGAGACCAGGGAGGGCAGTTTCTCAGCTCTGCCAACTCCTGCGTTGCTCCCCAGGGAAATCCAAGCCTTGGTGCTGCTTTGGGGCACTTCTGTTCTCAGAACAAGCCGGTGCTGGGGCGGGACGGCCATTCCAGGCAGCTTCCTGCAGAGCTGGACGAGGTTTTGCTCTTTATTCTTCCCCAAGTTTCTCCCTGGAGCCCGGGTGGGGTGGCCGGAGCGTACGGATCCCAGCCCGGCAAGGGAGGAGGAGCCGTGGGAACCGAGGCAGCAAATCCCTTTCTTCTTCCAGGCCAGAAATGGGGTCTGTGATGGGATGTTTTGTCCCCCATAAGTAATTCCACTCTGGGAGTGCTGCCTGCCGGCATCGAGCATCGCAGCAGGGATCACCCCTGGATCGGGATGGAGCCTCCCAGCCTAGCCCCAGCCAGGTGGTTCTCATTGCAGCCTCTGACTCACCTCCCAAAAATTCCTGCGCTCACATCATCGCAGGAAACCGCTACCGGGAAGTGGTAAAACCCCTGGACTGCCTGAAATTCGGCTTCCCCAGCGAAGGGGGAGATCAAACGGCAGCCTTTGGCCTCAGTCCCTCTGACGCCGGGGCTTGTCATCGGGGGGACGTCTCGGCCAGCGAGTGGTGGGTGTGTGGTTCCTCCAGACTCAGCAGCTTTTTGCCTGGCGTTTGGGAGTGTTTTCCCTGAGGAGGCCTGAGCTCAGAAATATTTTTAAGCAAATTATCAGCTGGGAGGAATGAGCTCAGCTCGTCGGCATTGTTCAGGGCCTCCTGGTGAGCTCTGCAGTCCCGGGCTGTGCCGGCTGCTGCAGGCAGCTCAGCTGAGGGTCAGTGGAGGGGAGCAGCCCCCAACAAGTTGCAGAGCCTGGCTATGATTTAGGAGCTGCCACAGAAAAACTGAGCTCTTTAAAGGCTGAGAGAAGATGGATTTTGGGGTCATGGGGGCAGATAGAAGGTGCAGCCACTTCCCCGAGTTCTGCAGCAGAGCCCAGCCCTGTGTCCTAGCTCGGGTGGGATGTGATCCCAGTCGCTCTCCTCCAGGAGGTATCTCTGTTAGCTCTGTCCCCTCTGCACTGTGCTGGACCCCACGTCAGCCCCAGCCCCACGGCTGAACGGGGCAGATCCGCAGTCCCGGGGCTGGCTCTGCATGGAAATGGCTCCATCTCCGCCCCGGCCGCTCCCGCAGGAGCTGCCTGGAAAGTTCCCACTGCTGCAGTCGCTGCCTGTCCCCCTGCCAAGCCTGCAGCCCTGCCAGCCCCGATGCAGCGCCAGCCGCGCTATTTCTGGCTCCACCTTGAGACGTGTACCTTCAGCAGTGGGAGCGATGCTGAAAGAGATGGATTCGGGAGGAGTGCATCCCCCTCCCGTTCCCGTCCCCGGGTGGCTGCCGGCGGCCGCGGCAGAGCGGGCAGGGATGTGGAGGAGCTCTGTGCCTCCGAGGGAAACGCTGCAGTTCATCTCCCAGCACAGGCACGGCCTCTGCACGCCTCCTCCGGGGCTGTGATGTGGCAGTGGGGCCGGCGTGGGAAGCCCCCAGGCTCTGTGCTTCTCTTCCCCCAGGGTAACTCCCAGTGCAGATCAACTCCTCCAGCAGCTGGGGGCAGGAGCAGGAGAAGCCCGGGCCGGAGGGAGCTGAGGGAGGTTGCTGATGTATTTAACCCTTGGCTTCTTGCACAGCTCAAGAGAAACCTTGTCTGCCCCAGTTTCCCCAAACTCAGGGCACACATCGTCTTGCCCAGCGAACCCAGGCTTCAAATGTTCAAACCTTCTCCACCAAATGATGTCTGCAGAGTCTGGGATACCCCGGGGCTCCTCCCGGTGCAGGAGCTGCAGGGATGTTTGCTCCTGGAGGGAGACTGGTGCTCATGGCTGGACTGGGCTCTGCTCCATGGGCGAGTTCCCTTTGCAGTGAGGAGGGAAGGGGGGGGGATTCTCCAGGGGCTGTCCCCCATGCCACCAGCTCTGTGTCACATCCCCACCTCACATCCCGGCACTTCCCTCCCACACACAGGGCCCGAGCAGCGCCACGCGGGCGGGAATGGAGCCGATCAGGACTAACCCGACCAGCGGCGGCCTGCCCACAGCCTGGGAGCTGCTGAGCACCCTTCAGGCTGCCCGTGGGGTCGGGGGGGCTCAGTAAGGCTCTCCTAATTAAGATAGCCCCACACAAGTGGTTATCAGCTCGGGGAAGGAAGTGATCCCACTTCCTCCTTAGACATCACATCTGGAGGCAAACCAGCGGTGTCCGTGTGGGACCGGGCTGGATCAGCCTGTGCCTGTGGGGAGCAAAGGGACTGCCTGGGGCTGGTGGTGGCCACGGCGCTGCTCACGGCATGGAGTGGCCATCCAAGGGTGGTGCAGCACCGTTCAGTCTTTGGGAAGTCCCCACAGACCAGAACTGAGATGGAAAACCCCTGTCTGTCTCCCCTGCCATCACAGAGGCTGAGCCTGTGCCAGTCCCATTCCCCATCTGCAGCCCCAGCCCTTGGCATGCCCACCGTGCACAGCCCTTCCTGCACCCACCTCCAGCCCTGGCACCTCGCCATGAAGCCACTCTCAGCACCTTTCTCCACAAGCATGGAGGATGGCCAGCAGAGCCTGCACGGGCATTCCAGTCCTATTTAAAGCGCAGGCTGGCAGGACGAGGGGGATCCCTGCAGCCCCAGGGCACACGGCCCTGGACGGATGTAGCACGGTGAGGACAGAGCCCAAAGCAGCCTCATCGTCCCATGGCACCTGCCAGGAGCAGTGGGACAGCTGCTCTCACATCCTCCCAACACGACTCACGCCTTCCTGAACGGAAATTGGGAGCGGGTTAGTCACCGAGAAGGGTGAGGGGCAGGTCAGGACGCTGCACTCCCCGGCATGCAGCCATTTCCTCCCATGACACCTTGCTGAGGAACCTCGGAGCTGTTTACAAACGCTGGACTGTGTCATGGCAGCGGCGGGGAAGCGGCTGAGCCCGAATCTCGCCCACAATCAGCTGGGAGTGCTGCAGTTCCCAAGCCAAAAGCATCAGGGTTGGGAGCAGGTTTTGCCCTTCTGAGCATCCCTTTGTGCCCACAGCGCCCAGGGAAGTCTTTCTGGAAAGCACAATGCTTCAAATCACAGCATCTCGGCTCTCCTCATAGGTCTGCTCTGGGAAAACAAGACTCGACCTTGTTTTCTGCCCACCTGGTCATCCCGTGCCCTCCCTGCAATTTCTTGGCCAGTTCCAGAAGGTTTCAGTAGAGACAAAGGGCTCGCTGCTAATTAAACTGCCCTAAGTGTGAGAAGTGATGCCTCCCTGAGGTGCAAGCTCAAGGTTAGGACAGAGTTACATCCATGGGGAATTGGTTGGCAAAAAAAAAAAAAAAATCTTTGTTGGGCTGGGCCAGACCCCTTGGAGCCCAGCAGTCCCTTGGGAGGGTGAGGTCAGTCCCGTTGCCAGCAAAAACTGCTGTCAATGATTTTTGCCAGCTGCCGTGAACACAAAGCAACTCCCAGCCTTGCTAGCACCCTCCAGACAAGTCCCCAGGGCTCTGTGCCCCAAGGTGGGGTTCACAGCACAGCCCACCTCCCTCCACAGGGCTTCACACCCATGGCAGCCCCCACGGATACCTGATGGCGAGCCACCGGTAATGGGTGGGACATGACCCCTCTCCGTCCTCCTCCCCCGCCGTCTCCCACTGTCCTCACCCCTCACCGTGCCTCGATTTCTCCAGGACCCCGCCTCACTCCTTTCGTGCTTGGAGAGATGCAGAAATTGTATTAAAATTCTGTTCAGTCCGAGATGGGGGCTCCGGGCACACCTGCCAGCGCCCATTGCT